ACTAATCGAAAGATCTTTAATGTTGGAATCATCCATATTATGAAGCCAATTTGGGCGACACTTGATACACCAATCATTAGGATTGTGAGGTTCGCATAGACCAGATATCTGAACATTGTCAAATGAATTTGAATCGGAAAGAAAGTCAGACGAAGTAGATTTTCTAGAACTTTTAGGAAGGTCGCCATCATATATTGTTTGGTTATCGTCACTATCAGAATACAAAAAATCCGAGTCATTTAATAATTCGACTGGATTTTCATCATCAGAATCTGATTCTTCATCGGATGATTCATCAATCGACTCATCAAAATTTTCATGACTAGATGAAATGCTTATTATATCATCTTCGTAATTACTAATAATCTCGAAATCAGTAGAAGTTGGAGAAGGTGGTGATTGGTCTTCTTCTTCCAAAGTACCAATTTTAGAGATGTTTGAATTATCCATTTTTATTTCTATAATAAAATTAGAAAAATAAGGTTATAGACGATCGACGACAATATCTGAATATTCATAAAAAAAAAAAATGTTTATAAAATTTGCACTCTTTTTCACACAAGAGTAGTAAATAATTCTACCATGGTCAAATCACTTTATGATAATTTACCTGTTAATTACTATATATTTACATAGAAATTGGAAAAAAGTTTATACAAACTTTTCAACATCAAAAGAAAAGATAAAAAAAAAAAAAGAGCCGAATAAATTGCTTTTTTTTATTTTTACTTAAAGACCGTGAGAAGAAAGTAATAAGTATTTACATTGATATTATATTATATTGTATAAAGTAACAATTGTTAATAATAAGCTCATCTGATATGGTGATAAGCCGTAGCGGAATACGGATCGAAAAGTCCGTCACTCCATGAATAAAAAAGCAAATTTATTGACAATCTCTAAGTCACAAATTCTTACTACAGAATTGTGGACACGTAGGATTTCTAATTGTGGGTAGGTATTTTATCTTTAAGTATTTATAACTACTAAAGAGGTTGTTACCGATATAGTCTTGGCTAACTTTAAATTAAATAAAGATTAATCGACCACAATAAAGTTTAGTTGTCCCTACATTGACATACATGTATAGTAGATCTTTTTCGTTATGAATAAGAATCGATTCAAAAAATAAGCTTAAGCTTACATGTTTGTACAACGCGTACGTACTATTTGTTATGATCAACGTAGTCTCAGAAATATATACAGTACGTATATCTAATACATAACTTTGTATACACTATATATATAATATATAACTGATAATATACGTATGTATATAGCGTTGTATATACACATATACCGTAAAGTCCCGATTTTGGCTGATTTTTTTTAATTTCAGTAACTTTTTGAAATACTTAATTCTGTTAGCTAATATTAATAATAAAAATTACTCTTAATTTTATTATACTTAAAGGGTTGCTTATTTTATTTATTTTACGTAACATTAAAATTGAGGTATTGCTTATTTTCGGAATTGCTTATATTCGGGACTTTACGGTATGTCAAAAAATAAAATATCGCACTAGTAACCCAAATATAGTTTTGTCCAGCGTCACATTTAATTTACATTGTTAAAATAATACAACTACTGAACATCATTAGCGTTGGTGAATAGATTGAAGGCAATGTCGATTTTAATTAAGAAAGTACTAAATTAAATACAATGACATGTTACGTAAGCGTGTGCACTCTTACGTATGTAAATACGTAGCGATAAGTTCAAGTTTCTTTGGTCAAAGAATATCTCCAGAATAGGATATTTAGGACTTGTTTTTTATAATTGAAGTATGTACAACGATATGTCGGGAAATTAAATCCGATTACTACTCTCTACTTTAGTCAAATATAAGGTTTACAGATTTGCAGTTAGATTTATTGGTTATACAAAGCAAGCAAAAGCCTATCGTTATACTAGACCATTTTCGATGCTTCCGAAAACCTGCACCACCCGTCTACCCTCAGTTTCTTCAGATTAACGGAGATATCAGCACTATTAATCCGATTTATTTCCGTAATCCGAGATTTAAAAAAGTAAGATTGAGATTTTTATTTTCGGAAATACAGTAATCGTTCTAAATGAATTAGACGTGTTTGAAATTTTTGAGATCTACGCGTCACATGAAATTGAGATATACCTGCACTTTATCTATTAGATCAATATTTATGAATAGCTAGGCCCTTACTTTAAACGAGAAGTACTACCTGGTGTGACGAAATTTTTTTCATAAAAATTTGAATTGATACTGTGATAATAAAAATTTACGCTAAGGCTCTTTAAACAAACTGTTTCTACTTGTCACCGATGACAGTAATCGGGTTTTATTTAAAGCTATATTTAGGGTTAGAGAAGCTCATGATAACGTAAATTCCCGAAATAACGCCCAGGGTGTAATTTCGAAATTTAGCCTAAGCTTAATTTGGGCCCGAGAATTTACGGTACGTGGGTACATAATAGAATTATGCAAGGAATAGTTTTTGTTAAGAGTGATAGTTTATAAGCAGAATTTTGAAGTTTTAAATCGTGCATTGAGACCGTAACTGCCGGCGATAAATAGATTCGCCATATTAATTAATAAATTTTACTAATGAAGTCATGGCCTTCAGTAATGGCCTTCAGTACAGCTATAGGCGTAATTGGCTGGTACTAGAGTTGTATAACTTACTGTAAGTTATTTTTAAAATGTAAGTTACATTTTAAGTTATGTAAGTTACCATGTAAGGT